CGTCCTGTTTAATTTAGCTTAAATACATACATTTTTTTAACTGCTATAACCAACATTAAATCAAACTTTGGGGCACGCTTATACTAAAATAAGTTTCATTATATATACAAACACCAAACGGTTTGAATTATGACCTCGTATTTTTATAGAAGATGGTGAAAACAAGTGATTTTTTTTTTTTTTTTTGTTTGAAGTTACATTTACTGTGAGCCTTTATAGCTTAGACAAGCAAGGTTCTTTGGGTAGATGTGATATCTCTTATTAGACCAGCTAAATAGTTGGAAAAAAAGTTCTTTGCAAGCTTTCGGGCACAAAAGAGTGTTTGTGTTGAAAACCTTGCAAAGAACTTTCCCCCAACTATTTAGCTGGTCTAATAAAAAATATCACATCTACCCAAACAACGTTGCCTGCCTGTGTCCTTAGACCAACACGGCTACAACCAACAACCCTTTGTAGGTTAGAAGTATTAGTAATTACCTCTGAAGAAAGGAGTCTCTTGGAATATGCTTGATCTAAATGCAGTACCAGGCTTGTATTTATAGAAATGCAGTGCCAAGTAACAGTGTAGTTACTGTAACAAATTTCTTCAAATGAAGAATGAACTGTGGCCCTGTGCAGTGGTTCCAGTAGCTTGCATCCACAGTTCTTGCTATGGTCTGCATACCACCCTCTGATGTGTAGAGGAGCCCTGGCAGGATAAATGGCCCTGAGTACTTTCTTAGCAGATTTGTAAAAATAACGACATAAAAAGCTGTGTCCTCATGAGAACCACTGCTTCAGGTGAGGTGGGAAAGTGGTGGAAGCTACTTGTTGTGGAGAAGTACTTAATAGAGAAGGAAATCTAGTAGTGCCAAAGCATGTGAAAGTGGAGGAAAAGCCCCAGATGGCATGGGAATGGAGGTCTGAAGCAATATAGTTTGTCCAGTCTACATACAGGAGAACATATGGCAGAAAAAAGTGGGAGCTAGAAATGAAACGAAGAACAAAAGTAAAACATTGTTAAAGAAATATCTTACTGCATTAAAAGTAGTTAAAAACACAAAATATTATTTTAGTGTAAATTAGGGCTGTTTGCCATTCCATATGTGTAGAAGTCTCTCTAGTGATCAGTAATGGTATGAAGGTTTGAGAGTTAGTATTGGGAAAACGAGGAGGAGGTTAGTTATTTTCACTCCCACTGTTTTCGTACTCCCTCAGAAGGTGCCTTGGATTAACAGCCTGCAGTTGATGATTCATGCAGAATTTCTAGAAAATGCTTTTCTTGTGTGTATGGGGGGGGTCTTTTGTTAAAATATATACACTAGCACTTAAGCTTTCCTTTAAGATAATTGCAAAGGGATAACGTGTTTGTGGGTGGCTGAGAACATTTTCCCAAAGACAGCTGTACTTTCAACAGGAATCAACCACTGCAAATTACCAACATATTAATTAACTTGGGACGAAAGTGACAGGTGTATACATCATAAAGGTCCTAGTGTTTTTTGTGCCGTGTAAAATATTAAACATGAATCAATGTTTTGATGCATGAAGCATCTGTTTTCTGCCAATTGAGTATAGCGTGTATACCATTCCATTATTGAGTATACAGTGCTTTGTACAGCTACACAGTAAAAGCCATATTATCTGGCACCTTACAAACCAACGTTCTCTATTAACCGACATGCCAGCTTGTAAGGAAAAAGTGAAGCCGGAAGTGCCTGCTGTGGCACTTCCAGTTTTGCCGAGCCCCCACGGCCTGGGGCAAAGAAGCCTGTGTGGAGTCCCCCTTCCTGTCCCCTGGCGCACTGATGTAGTGGGAGGGGCGGTGCCACACCGGGCGTAGCGGGAGAGGCAGCAGCCCGAACAGGCAAAGATGTCTGTTTGGGCCTCTCGGGTAACTGGCATATTTGGTTATCTGGCACCCCCACATTCCCCACGGGTGCCAGATAACAGCTTTTGCTGTATATGCAAAGTTTTTCTGAAAGACCTTGACTTAAACCAGAACTGTGGGTTTCTTGCAAGTTTCTTCCCTGCTCTGTCTTTGAGATTATATTCAGGGCAGTCTTGGTCTGTTAGAACAGGATTGTTTTTAGTTTCTTGTGTGCAGTTTCTGTTCACTTACTTGCAACAATATAGTTTGCTGCCTTCTTGGTAGTGGGCAAAATGAAAAGAAAATATAGTGGTGGAGAAGGAAACCCCAAAATAATTTCTACTTGGTCCCTCAGCTGCACTTTAACAATCTGATGGCAATAGATAAGTGGTAAAAGTGCAAATGAAAATTTCCCATTCCATTAGCCAACCAAAATGACTCTTATGTGAGAGAAATAACTCTTTTACAGCAAAATTAAGGTTAAAGGACAGTAGTACTGCTCTGGTAATGCACCAATGACCAATCCTGAGTAAGATTGCCTTCCTTGCTCCAAGGCTTTGTTCTAGGAAAGTGTTTTATTTCCTCCTTAACTTGAAAAATGACTAGTTAACCAACTGAGCCTTCTTGAATTGTAAGGAAGTGTGTAGACAGCGCCAAAGGAAATGGACTCTTATTAGTCTAAAAATAATTCTGAACAATGGAGAAGAATAAATATATGGGTCCAAACTGAAGTAACAACTGAAACCTTTCAAATGTAGGCACAGAAGCCTGAGTGTAGGCATTTATAGATTTTATAATTTTTTAAGCCAAAATTGAGGTGGTTTTGTCACTGCTGGAATGCGGTTGATAGATATTGCTCTGGTGACTTGGGTACCTACATGAAGGATTTGAGTGTGGCCTTTGGTTTTTATGGGATAGAATTTGTTGGGTTTTTTTTTTTAATTGGGTGGTTTTGTTTAGCCCATAAACTATTCTACTCAAATAGAAGATGGTCTTGATTATAAGATGACCCCCCCCCCCCAATAATTAGATTCTATATATGGAAAATTCCAAAAATTTGTTATATTTTTCCAGGTATAGAATCTAATTGTTGGAGGTTTGCCTTGAATTTGTACCCCTCCCATGGCTACAGAAAGGAAGGGGGACAGGTAGCCCCTTTGTTCTGTTTCCCCCCAGCTTTTTGCCCTGATAGACCCTTCTGCCTCCTTGAGCACATAGAAGTGAGGAGCAGATCTGAAAACAATAACCTTAAAATTAAACATAGCTGTAACAGTTTTTATGTAGTATCTATCAGGGATCCAGGTTTTCTGTTTCCTATGGAAAAACATTAAAAACAGCGGATTTTCCCTTTTAACCAAGACAAATGCAGATGTTTCATTTTAATAGAGAAACACGCAGATTTTCCACTTCTGCAAACAGCTTTCTGCAAGCTGGCACAGTTGCAGCCTGCCAAGGGGCTGAGGGGAGCAGGAGGAGGGCGGTCAGACAGGGGGCACCATGTGCACGCTTACACATGCACAGGGTTGCTGGGCAGCCTGCAGAACAGCTCCCGCAGGTAAGTCTGGCT